TTACATCCTTGGTCAGGACATCCCCACATCTCTCTGTCCGTTCTCCCGTAAACCGATTCGCAGGAACAAATTCTGCCTGCCTGTTGAGGAGCGAAGTTTTGTCTGTCGGATTCAGCGAACTTTCCTTTATCCTTATTTTCTGGGCATATATTTTGAGATTACGGTACTACAGTACAGTTTCCTGGCGCTTGCCTGTAAGGTATTCTGAGGACTTCTTGTTCGGGATATCAGTAGCCAGTTAGGCTGTTGTCTGGACTTGGAGGCTGTAGCACAAACTTGTTTCGGGAGGACGTTATACTATGCAATATAAAATGCCGATGTGGAAGGTGATTACAATTATGTTCAATAGACAGACACTGACAGACAGAAAGGGGTGGTTTTCCAGCTTGGGGGTTGTGCAGGGGAAGATATTTCCTCGCCGTAAAAAAATTAACATGTTACAAAATGTTACATAGGGCCTCAGACCTCGACAGACTCTTTGGAACGATGTTAGCCAGGGAGGACGAACGTGAGATTTTAAATGCCAGACGTATCTACGGATCGCATTTACTTAAAACAGTACCAAGCAAATTAATTAGATTAAGTGGGATAGCAGGGCCACGGGTGGGATAAAGATGGCACTGAACGAGCAGTTCCTCAGGCAAATGTTGTTATAGTATCTTAAAATAGCCAGGACCGCATCCTTCCACATCCTTTCCAGTTCATCGATCACATATCATCCAACCATTCGGTGCTATGTCAACTGCGTAGCTGAAAAATGTTGTTAAATAACCCAAAAATAAAGTAATAAAGCAATGGATGTTTTTAAGAGCGTATATGGAAACGTGTGCTGTCTTGTCCCAGAAGACAGAACTTCATAGCCACAGCTGTGAGAACCTGAAGTCCCTTGTAACAAGATAGTTCTGTGTATTTTGTGTACCCGTTGTAACTGAAAAGTGTTGAATAACCAAGAATTAATTAATGAATCAATATCGTAAAGAGCGTATATGAAAATTATGTGTACTGTAATATTGTATTTAAGAATCCTGTTGCATTAATGTATCATTTATTTCATATATTTCCGTTTCTAATGCAAGTTATTAATAGTCACCGTTCTTCCTCACAACATGTTTGGGCCGTATACGGCCATCATCATCATCATCGCCAAAATTGTTGCACTGTGTAGCATGTCAAAATTTAATATCTTTTGTGAACGCGATATTTCTTGATTACAGTTAATTTACCTCAATTAAATTAATTAAAATTAATGAATAGCCTATGTTATCCTCGTCGTCCATCCTTTCAAACGATATTTGAGGTCTGTTGTTTGCGCAGCATTCCCTGCTGCGTGGGTGTAGTGCCTAGTGCAGGTGTAGGCTTATCACTTCCATTAAGTATGTCACTTGGCCTGTGGGTTCTTCACACTGCTTGTGTACTTTTGTCGTACGTAAATCCTCTATGGCGCGTACACTTTGTCATTCTTGTTTCGTAGGACATCCGCCTTGTGACGTATGCCTATACCTGTTAACCCTCATCACTGTCTCCTTTGGGCCACGTGTTGCATTGTTTCTTACCCTAAATTTATATGACTAGGTCGCGAATGTTATAATCGGCAGCATTTCATATTCCTCTGCCGTTCATCATAGTGTAAAGGTAAGGTAAAGCTATCCCTGTAACAGGCCGTGAAAGCCTATTGTGTTGTGAGACGTCGAGGCTCCCACATTTTCTCTAGACAGTCACCTCACAGATTGCGGTAAGGTTGTCAGACTTACGCGCCTGCGTACTAATTTGTGTTAGAGGCCGAGTCGACACCAGGGCCATAGTGTGGCTGGAAGAATTAGGTAAACTGAAAAAAAATCGATCTCATCTGGACTCGAACCCGTGACTTTCCGGCTTATAGCATAGCTCCTCAACCAACCACACTACCACGTGCCCCCGTTTATCATAGTGTTCGCAAGTAATTGTGTTAGCGGAGCAAAGCCTACTTCCGGTTTTTGGATGGTCATTGGTTCTTATATTATTTAGTACCACTGTGGGAACTTCCCACATTCAAGCAAACGTTACAGTGACAACGCAAGTATCATTGCTTAGCAACAGCGAGTAAATGATACTTGCATTGTCACTGTAACGTTTGCTTGGGCCGCGCCGTGGCTCAGGCGGTTAGTCACTGGCTTCCCACCGCGGCGGCCCGGGTTCGATCCCGGGTGTGGTCAAGTGGGATTTGTGATAGACAAAGTGGCGCTGGTGTGGGTTTTCTCCGAGTACTTCTTTTTCCCCTGCCAATCTTCATTCCACCAAATTCTCCATCATCACAATCACCCGGGGCAGGCTACAATAGGCCAATCAGTGGCCGCCGTGTCGAGTGAACCCAGTTGGACTCCCACACCACTCTTTCAGCTGCAGTGGTGATGTAGCTTCAGATAAGCTGGGGGATGCATGCAAAGATTTGCAAACGGGCTGTCGTAGTTTATTTTAAGGCAGTAGCCTTGGATTCGCTTCGATAAGCGAAAGGCAAGCATGGCAAATCTGCCCACACAGTCCCGACTAGATTCAAAACCTGGTGTCTCCAATACAAGTCCAGAGCCTTTTGTTTTTGACAGATTTTTTTGGTACTGTCATTGGAGAACTGTAGTTATACTTAAAGCAGGAAGCTGTTGGACTCCAGTTGGTACTTAAAAATGGTTTTAATTTGAGCTTCATTAAAACCAGTGTATAGCAAATGGTCCACGTTAGAAACTGTTAAATAATGTTAAAATTCGAACCATACCTCTTGAAGACTCCTTGTACAATGATTTACATTATTCACTCCTTTGTTTTACTATTTTACAACCTTGTATTAATTGCTTAGGTTAAGTGGCACTGACAAATGTTTCGGCCATTTAGAGACGTTTCGCAAATTTACAGATTTAGCATCGAATGAAATAGGAAGATTATAATGAATTGCGAGTAGATGAAAGGGACTCATATGAATATGGTAATGAACCTTTGGGTTCCATAACATGTTGGGAAGTTCTTGAGTAGCTGCACAACTGACGGCTCCTGAAGAAAGGTTCAGTTCCATGGAGTTAATTAGGATAGATAAAGTGTTTGGAAGGAGGGAATCGTGACAAATTGTAAGGCCTTCCTCTGGTCGTGACGCGGTTGTTGTGATTAATGAATCAGAAATCATGTCCCATTTTAATGTACTCTAGTATCCGGCCATTTTTCTGGATTAAATAGTATAGCCAGTCCCTGTCTGGAATTTGAAACGGGAATCTCCAGAAGACAAGACGGGACCTGTCTCTCGATCCTATAGATATATTCTGACATTTATAGGTTATGACCAGGGCCCGAATTTTGAAGACCTGAAAATATTTAAAAAATGACCTATAAAATAACCGAAAGAATCCAGAAAAATTACCTAAAGGAGAAAGAGAAAGAATACTTCGCTTTCATCTTATTCACATTTCAGAAAACATATGAAGACAAATTCCATCATCATCATCATCAGTAANATGGCAAAAAATGACAATAAATACCCTTAAAAGTTCAAAAATTTACTAAAAAATTACCCCCAAAATGGAAAAAAATGACCTTAAACCTAAAATGTTAAAAAATGACAAAAAATTGCCTATAAAATTTACATTTCTGTAACCAGCAGCTCATATCCGAGATTTGTATATTTAATAGCATCGCATAGGATACAAGGAAAAAAATATGACGTGTCATCAGAATCCGGGCCCTGGTTATGACTGTTATAGAACACTCAAATGTATGTCCATCAGTAGTCATATGTTCATTAGATTAATCATCTTGTGGTTCTACATAGTTCCCAGATTGTGATACTAGGCCGTGCCATAGCTCAGGCGGTTAGTCGCCTCCTTCCCACAGCGGCGGTCCGGGTTCGAACCCAGGTCATGTCGTGGGATTTGTGGTGGACAAATTGGCACTGGGACAGGTTTCCTTCAAGTACTTTGGTTTTCCTTGCCCATTCTCTTTCTACCGATTGCTCCACACTCATCATCTATCGTCCGGGGGCTGGTACTGTAGTCCAGTTAGTGGCCCACGTACCAAGTGAACTGTCTCACCCCACCCCAACAAACTAAAGAAAATAAAGTTTGATACCCCAGGAACTCCTTATTGAAAGATTATTCAACTTGAACTGTATCCAACGTGATAAGTTACATTTATGTGATAATTCGTTTACTTTTGTCTCTTATTGTAGACTGCTC